AACCTCGGCCACAACTACCACCACCATCGTCGACCACTGCACAATAGATCAAATAATGAAAATTCCCAAAATATCAACCACCAGATTCACCCATGCCATTCCACACACAAACCACCTGCCACAATCCACCGCCACCTACCATCGCACAGTAGATCCAATAAAAAAACTCCCAACAAAATCGAGGCGGCATTGCAGATCGACGTTTCACATAGCAGCGCCGCCATATTCACCACCGCCGTCGCAACCTAACCTCGTAGCACCACCCATTGCTTCACGTCGCAACGAGGCTGGATGGTAAAACGCCGTAGACGGTGGTGCGATGGAGAGGAGCAGCATCGCGACGAGGGTGGAGTGGAAAGAGAAAAGATGAAGAAAGGGAGACAATGGAGGCTGTCTGTGAAGAGTGATACGAGAGAGAAAACATGAAGAGAGAGAGAAATGCTTCTAGGGTTGGGATGAAAATTATGTATTCAATTTTTAATATTTACCTATGATATTTCTGATTTTTGAAAAGTGGAAGTTCCCGTCTGATTTAAGAAATCAGGATTTTAACTCTATGGTTTTGAGTAATTTCCACTTTATAATTTATCTCTTTAGCTTCTAAATTTCCTTTTCCTCCTACACAAAGAAGAGTAATAAAGATGTAGATACATAATGTGTATACATTTGGCAGTTAAAAGATTCTGTTAGTTACCAGTCAGGTAGTTGAATTGTTAGTTAGTTGCCAGCTATATGCTTCTATATTCTATTTATATTGGTGCTATAATTCATTTTCCATCACGTTGAATGAATCAGATTCTTTTCTTTACAATTCAGCTCTAGAATCTAATATGGTACTAGAGCTATTCCTCCCTTCATTGCTTCTTCTTCACAAATCTAATCAATTTGTGGTTTATTTTGATCATAATATGGAGTTTTTACAATCCGAAATTAAGTTTGAGTCAAGAGCATGAGTGAACAAATTTCTATTGATGATCCTTCAAGTCCTTACTTCCAACATCACTCAGACAGCTCGGGATTGATTCTAGTTTCTTAGCATCTCACCAAAGATAATTATGCCTCCTGGAGGCGTGCAATGACTTTTGCACTGTTGGTAAAGAATAAGCTTGGTTTTGTTGATGGAATAATAACAAAACTTGAAGGTACTAATGTTGATCTGATAAATTCATGGATTAGAAACAACGATATAGTCATTTCATGGATTCTAAATTCTATTTCGAAAGAAATCCTTGCAAGTGTAATCTATGCAACATCAGCATATGAAATTTGGAATGATTTGAAAAATAAATTTCATCAGAAAAACGGACCTAGAATTTTTCAATTAAGGAGAAAGTTGATAAATCTTGCTCAGCATCAAAACAATGTCAGCATTTACTTTACTAAACTCAAAACGATTTGGGAAGAATTGAGTAACTACCATCCTAATTGCCACTGTGAAAAGTGTATTTGTGGTGGTGTGAAAAAACTGAATGCTCATTATCAAATGGAATACATAATGTCGTTCCTCATGGGGTTGACCGATTCTTTTTCTCAAGTCAGAGGATAGATATTACTCTTAAGTCCATTAACTTAAATCAATAAAGTATTTGCCTTAATAGTTGAAGAGAAATATCAAAGGAAGATAAGTACACAAATTAATGTTGGGAATGATTCGAATGGAGCTGTTGCCTTTGCATTCAAAACTGATAATAGCATATCAGTAAGTGGTTCTGGTCTTCACAACACTAACTCAAGGATTGGAATTAATGGAAATGTCAAGTATAAGGAGAGGCCTTATTGCTTTTGACTATAACTTTCTTGGCCATCCAATTGATAAATGTTATAAGACAAGATCAAGGAATGCATCTGGATCGAACACTATTAATCAAATTTATGATTCATTTAATGGTTAAATTGAAGGCAAGAAAATTGACCAACAACCAAATTTTGGAAACGTTGTCTAGAACTTGAACTCCAACCGTATCAACGGTTAATGTTTATGTTATCTACTCACTTGGCATCAAACTCCAGCATCATTACTACTGATCAGCATGACAATAATCTCAATTCTTATGATGCAAGCACATGTTACTCCATAATAGTAGATCTTATTTTTTCATCCAAAAACATTTGGATAGTTGATGCAGGTGTAACTACGCACGTATGTTCCATTGCTGCAGCCTTCACATCAATGAGAATCATTGATAATTCAACTGTTACATTGCCAAATCACACACAAATCTTAGTTAGGTTGTGTGGTGATGTCAAATTGAGCTCAAACATTGTACTACATGTATCCTATTCGTGCCTAAGTTCAATGAGGTTATCTTTTGATTCAAATAACCATCTCTCAAATCATCCTTTTGATCTTATACATTGTGACATTTGGAGGCCATACCAAGTTACATCATATACATGGCATAGTTGCTTTGATATTTTACATGAAAAATAAATGTAATCAAACACACCCTAAGTGTATTAGTGCCACCTTTAATTATTTATGTGATAAGGACAAATCACAAACGTAACTAATGAATCAGTCAACACTACAATCTTCCAGCACAAGGTGCTAACCCTTATACATAGGTTGTGAATAAATTATTTATGATCAAAATATAAGTTATATCACACTATATTTCTCAATGTAAGTATTCAACTCATATTATTACAAGTGATCACATGCACTTTAATCTCGCATGCTCAATAATAAAAAAAATACAATAAATGAAGTAAACACAATTTTATTTTATATAAGAATATTGTTATTTTTATATCAGCATGGGCACATAACCCAACAGCTTGTCCACAGAAATAAATTCCAACCATGTGCTAGATTGTATATATTTTTGGGATATCCATAAGGAGTTATATAAACTCTGTGATGTTGTTTGAAACAGATCTTTTCATCAAGAAATGTCATATTTCATGAAAGTATATTCCTTTTTATACAATAATTGTTGCTGATCATCTTACTGACCCCCTTTTCCGACTTAGTTCTGCCAAATCCTTCATTATCTATTACTAAACAAGGTAACCATATCCTTGTTCGTATCCCAACTATCAACACTCATCTCACGAAGAATCATCTCATGCCTTGCAACCGACTATTGATCATTCTAATATCACACCAAGTGTTGAGCTCTCTCCAGCTATCAACATCATAAAATTAAAAAGAGTTATCAAACCTCCACAATATCTCAGAGACTATCATTGTAACATGATTTCTCAAAATTCCAATCATTTCTTTCAATTGCCTCATCACATTGGTCATTTTCTATCGTAAGACAAGTTGTCTCCCAAACACAAACATTTGGTATAAAATACCTCATCCCAGATAGAACCAAATTTCTACCATCACCTTTAATTATTTCTGTGATAAGGACAAATCACAAACGTAACTAATGAATCAGTCAACACTACAATCTTCCAGCACAAGGTGCTAACCCTCATACATAGGTTGTGAATAAATTATTTATGATCAAAATATAAGTTATATCACACTATACTTCTCAATGTAAGTATTCAACTCATATTATTACAAGTGATCACATGCACTTTAATCTCGCATGCTCAATAATAATAAAAATACAATAAATGAAGTAAACACAATTTTATTTTATATAAGAATATTGTTATTTTTATATCAGCATGGGCACATAACCCAACAGCTTGTCCACAGAAATAAATTCCAACCATGTGCTAGATTGTATATATTTTTGGGATATCCATAAGGAGTTATATAAACTCTGTGATGTTGTTTGAAACAGATCTTTTCATCAAGAAATGTCATATTTCATGAAAGTATATTCCTTTTTATACAATAATTGTTGCTGATCATCTTACTGACCCCCTTTTCCGACTTAGTTCTGCCAAATCCTTCATTATCTATTACTAAACAAGGTAACCATATCCTTGTTCGTATCCCAACTATCAACACTCATCTCACGAAGAATCATCTCATGCCTTGCAACCGACTATTGATCATTCTAATATCACACCAAGTGTTGAGCTCTCTCCAGCTATCAACATCATAAAATTAAAAAGAGTTATCAAACCTCCACAATATCTCAGAGACTATCGTTGTAACATGATTTCTCAAAATTCCAATCATTTCTTTCAATTGCCTCATCACATTGGTCGTTTTCTATCGTAAGACAAGTTGTCTCCCAAACACAAACATTTGGTATAAAATACCTCATCCCAGATAGAACCAAATTTCTACCATCATGTAAAATATCCTAAGTGGCATACAACCATGAAACTTAAACTTGATGCTATGGAACTGAATCATGCATGGTCTGTTGTGCCTTCACCATCCGGAAAACACTCTATGGATTGTCGATGGATATACAACATAAAATACGAATCAGATGGTACAATTAAAAGACATAAAGCTTGACTTGTTGCTAAATGCTATACACAGCAAGAGGGGCTCAACTACTTTGATACCTTTTCTCCAATAGCAAAGATTGTAACCGTCAAAGTTCTACTTGCTCTTGCGGCATGCAGTACTTGGCACTTGGTTCAGCTAGATGTCAATAATGCCTTTTTGAATAGAGATTTGTTTGAGGAGGTATACATGGAACTTCCTCTTGAATATAAAGTTCAGAACAATAACAATCAGCAATAAAAGTTAGTTTGTAAATTGCACAAGTCCATCTATGGACTCAAGCAAGCATCTCAACAGTGGAATTCCAACTTTTCACAGGCTCTCATACAATTTAGTTTTACTCAATCGAAGGTAGACTATTCATTGTTCATTAAAGGTTCTGGACATGACTTTGTGGCACTATTGGTGTACGTTGATGACATTGTCATCACATGTCACAATTCTCAGGCTATTGTTTCTCTAAAAACCTTCTTACATTCTCAATTCAAGTAGAAAGATTTGGGTTGCCTGAAGTGTTTTTTGGACATAGAGGTTGCTCGTTCAAAGGCAAGCATAGTCATTTCTCAAAGACATTACATTACAATTGCTAAAAGTTGCTGGATAATTGGATTGCAAATTGGTTAATACACCTATGGATCCAAAAGCATGTCTTAGCATACATGAGGGGGATCTCTTGCCTGATGCCTCACACTACAGATGCTTGATTGGAAGATTGATCAATTTAACACTATCTAGACCTGACATCACATATGTTGTTCACAAATTGAGTCAATTTCTATCCCAACCTCAATTGCCACATCTCAAAGCAATACATCAACTTTTTCATTACTTAAATACAACTGTGGTCAAGGTCCATTCCTTTCAGCATCCTTATCTTTACCTATCATTACAAGCGTTTACTGATGCTCATTGTGGTTCATGCATTGACACAAGGAACTCCACAACAAAGTTAGGTGACTCACTAATTTCTTTGAATTCTAAAAGACTGCCTAAGGTATCATGCTCATCAACTGAAGCAGAGTATCGAGCACTTGCTGTAACCATTAGTGATCTTCTATGGATCACTTAGTTGTTAAAGGACTTTCAGACCTCTACAACCTCTCTTGCTGTTCTATGTTGTGACAGTCGAGTAGCAATTCAAATTGCTTCTAATCACACCCTTCATGAACAAATTAAGCATATCGAAATCTATTGCCACTTCATTCGAGATGAAATTGCAGCTGGAAAGATTAAACTTCTTCCAATTCGATCAAGATGCCAATTAGCCGATATTTTCACCAAACCACTTCATGCTTCGACTCTAATTCCTTTATTATCCAAGATGTCTATTAAAAATATTTACAGCACATCTTGAGGGGCGTATTAAAGATGTAGATACAAAATTTGTATACATTTGACATTTAAAACATTCTATTAGTTATCAATCACTTAGGTAGTTGAGTTGTTAGTTAGTTGTCAACAATATGCTTCTATTTTCTATTTATATAGGTGCTGCAATTCATTTTCCATCATGTTGAATGAATGAGATTCTTTCCTTTACAATTTAGCTCTCGAATCTAATAGAGTGAAATCAATTAAAATGGTCTCCTTTTGAAAAGTTTATAAATAATTTATAAAAAAGGATAGTAAGAAGAATAATTGTGAGCCTTGCAAAATGTGTAGATAATAATTATTAGTAATTATAACTTTATGGTTGAAATTAATTGGGAACACACAAGCATAAAAAGGATTGGATGCCAAAGGGTCGTGAGTATCCTGGACAATTTGTTGTTGCACGTCTTATTGGTCATTCTAAACTACAATAACTAGACGACGTTGATTTTTAGCCCTTGTTTGAGCCCCATTTTGGGGAAGAGAATGAATTTTTGAATAATGTATTGATGAAAAATGTATGGTTAAAAAATAAGAAAAAGTTTTGGATTTACGTATAATATTATTTTATTAAAAATGTGTGGTTGAAATAATGTTAAATTACTGTTAAAAAATACATTTTTTTTTCCAAAGAATATGGCTCAAACAAAGGCTTACAGTCAAAGGAATAAATAGTTAATGTTGGCCTACGGTTGACTTCTCGTTTTGATTATAACAAACATATTTTATTTAAAAATTATGTTTAGGTGATTATAGAAGTTTACGACAAGCGGAGCTCTTGCAAGTTTGAACAAAGTGGAAATCAAGTTACATATCAAGACTACGATCACTTCAAGAAGAAATTAGAAGAAAATATATTTAGATACCTTGATTTCAAATGTTAAGGTAAAAAACTTTAGTGTTTGGTATATACGTCATTTGAAGCTCAAGCAACATTTCTTCGCACGACAAACAAGACTTTTGCATAAAGAAAAGCACGAGCCTATTACATACTTTTAGTCATGTCAAAAAGTCCGTAAAACATGTTAGAAACATTCTTCATGAATTTACATTTTGCTACATTATTTAAAAAAGGAAAAATCCAAAAATATGTTGATCTAGAGGACACATCCGGTAGCTCTAGTGGACGTCCGGTATGACAAGTTTGTCCAACAGTCAAGAAATCGAACGTTCTGACTTCTGAACAAAAAACGGTTAGTTGACCGTCCGGTATGATAGCGGATGTCCGATAGCTTCGTCCGATAGAACAGAAATTTTGGTCGTTTTTGTTATTATAAATACTAGATTGCTTTGCATTCAACACGAGACTTGATATGAGCATTTAAAGTGAGATATCACCTATATACATCTATTTCTTCAATCTATTTATTAGAAAAACATTTGATTGATCCAACCTTTTTGAAAATCATTCTTATCAAAGTGTTTTTCTTTTCTAACACTTGAGATTTAATCATTGCTATCTACTAAAGTGTTAGCCATCTTCTCTTGTTGTATTCAACTTCGATTATATCATTTATTGCAAGAGAAGTCTTCACTTGTATACTCCTTATCTTTCAAACTTGTGAGTCGAGTTGAAGTCCCGAAAATTTCAACATTGTAAAGGAACGGTGCTCTTGTTTGTAAGTCACCGAAAGTGTTGTAAGAAGGTTGGATTGCACCATAAGTCAATCAATATAGTGAAAAATGTCTTACTCGTGACAGAGAGCTTGGTAACGGGGGACGTAGATCGTGATTGGATCGAACCTCCTTATTACATCGTTTGCACTCTCTTTTTCCTTTCTTTTATTACTTTTGTGTTATCTTATTTGTTCATAGTTATTTGTTTAAATTTGCGCTTATTTTCGAAAAAGGATCGAATAACCAATTCACCCCCTTTTGATTAATTGTTCTTGAGCTTTCAATTAATGCATCCGGGAGTGTCCATTATATTCAATTTAGAAATGGTGTTACTTGCTAATTCTCATAAAATAAATGAATAAAATTAGTCCACATGGCCTCGTTTTTTAAAAATCAATTTTATTCAAATTCATTTTTAATTGTACATGATTCACAACTTTTTATCTTTTTTCCAATCATGTTTTTTGAATTTTTTTTTCAAAATTTACTAAATATAATTTTTATTTAAAACAAATCGAAGCAACGTGTGTTTGTTTGGAAGTATTTTTATTTTCAAGTGGATTGGTAGTGAAATTCATGATCCACGAATATGCATTAAATTTGAAACAAATTAGTTCTTGATTCGAGCTAAAAATGTCATTGGTATGAAGAAGCCACCATTTAAGTTTCCTCTCTACGCCACGTTTGCTATAGATTAAAATTAAAATTTATTAAATTTTGATAAAATAAATGATTGAAAAATTGTGAATTTCATAATATATATATATATATAATTTATTATTAATTTTAACTTATTTAAATTTGATTTTAATCTACACCAAACATGGACTATATAAAAATTGTCATTTGCTACAGGTAAGCTAATATAATACCAATTGAATAATACTATCTAGTATCATTGGTTCTATAACGTAAATTTAGGTGATGTTAAATGATAGGCTCGATGAAAAATTGAATTAAGTTATTCATTTTACTATACCTCTCATTTAATATCACAATATTATTATATAAACTGATGTATTTAATACTAGTAATACTAAATAATATTACTAAGCCGCTATTTGGAGGACATTTTTCGGAAGAAGAAAATTAATTTTTTGACCTTTTTTGGTCAACCATAATAGTGTGTTGGTAAAAAAAAAAAAAAAAAGGGAGGTTGCTTTTGAGTGCTAACGATAGGAAAATTAATTTTTCTACCGACAAAATGTCCTCCAAACAGGGTTAAATATTCATTTGCTCAAACTTTAGCACATCAAATAAGACGTAATAATTGAAACGACGAAATACAATAAGTTACAAGTGATTGAATAGGGTAATTGAGCTATGTTGCATGTTTTTGCAAATTTATAACATGACTTTGATCTAAGACCGTGCAAGATTAATTTTCAGTCGAAGGAAGTTAAGTGGCTCATTTAAATGCCTAAAATATCCCTAGAAACAAAATTCAAAATAATGGAAATCAGAAATCTCCATTTTAGCTCCTGTTTGTTTTTAACTAAAAAATTATTTAGATTTTGATAAAATTAATTAGAGCATGTTTGAGGTTCATTTTTTGTCCAAAATACATTTTGGTATAGTACTTTGATTGAGAATATGTTGTTAAAAATAAGAAAAAAAAATTGGATTTGAGTGTAATGTCATTTTATTAAAGAATGTATGGTTAATTAAAAAAAAAGAAAAAAAAATACACTTTAAAAATAATGGAGCCAAACAAGAGCTTAATACGTAGTTAAAAAATTTTAAGTGTCACCAAATAATTGTTGAAAAATGAATTTGAAAAAAAAATTGTTTTTGAAACATAAGGTCAAACAGTTGCTAGCCTGTTTCGTAAGGAATTATGTTACAATGACATAATTTTTGATATAATGGTTGACATAATAGCACATGATACTTCATTATTGAATTGTTTTAAATATAGTTAACTTTTCATCCAACCACAAATTGCCAAATCACTTTATGTAATTCTATCTGTCAAAGTAGCATAACTTATTTCGTAAAAATTAATTATGCTTCAATGACATAATTATTAAGATAATACCACATGACATTTTAGCATTGGATCGTTTTAGATATAGCTAGCATTTCATCCAACCACATATTGCCAAATCACATTATATCACTCCATCTGTTAAAGTAGCATAACCCATTTCGTAAGGAATTATGCTACAGTAACATAATGGTTAACATAATACCATATGAGACTTCATCATTGAATTGTTTTAAATACACTAAGCTCTTTATCCAATCGCATGGAGCCCCCTCATATGAGGGGACAGTACACCAAGCACAACCCTAATTATTGATATAATGGTTGACATAATATCACATAATACTTCATCATTGGATTGTTCTAAATACAGTTAGCTTTTCGTCCAATTACATTTTGCCAAATCACATTATATCACTCCATTTGTCAACCACTTTTTGTCAAAATAACATAACCCATTTTCGTAAGGAATTATGTTACAGTAACATAATTATTGACGTAATGGTTGACATAACACTTCATCATTGGATATTTCAAATACAGTCAATTTTTCATCTAATCACATTTTGTCAAATCACATTATGTCACTCAATTTGTCAACTCCTTTTTGTCAAAGTAGCATAACCCATTTCATAAGAAATTATGCTACAGTGATATAATTATTGACATAATGATTGACATGATGCCACATGACACTTAATCGTTGGATTGTTTTAAATACAATCAACTTTTCATCCAATCATATATTGCCAAATCAAATTATGGCCCCATTTTGTACTCAAGTTTTTCAAAATGCATTTTTCTCTCTTATTTTCGACCACACATTCTTTATTAAAATAACAATATACGTAAATCAAAAATTTTTCCTTATTTTTCAACCACACATTTTCCATCAATATACTATTTTAAAATACATTTTTACATAAAAATGACTCTCAAATACCATCTATATCACTCTATTTGCCATCCACTTTTTATCAAAGTAGCATAATTCATTTCATAAGGAATTATACTATAGTAATATAATTATTGCATTAATGACTAACATAACACTTCATCATTGTATTATTTTAAATACAATTAACTTTTCATCCAATCACATTTTTTCAAATCACATTATAATAACATAATTATTGACATAATGATTGATATAACACTTCATCATTGAATTATTTTAAATACAATTAACTTTTTATCCAATCACATCTTGTCAAATCACATTATATTACTCTATCTATCAACCACGTCAAAATAGTTAAAAATCAGATTTAAGTTTTGATATTATCAACATTATGTAACTATGATCTTGTAACTCATTTTATTACAAACTCCAAAAAACATTTGTATAGTTCCGATAAATCTATTAAATATGATCTATCCAGTTGAAAATTAAAACTATGATTTTTTTTTTAATTTTTTGCATTTTGAAAACTTGAAAATTATTTAATTAACTAACGGTAGAAATTATTAAGTAAATATTGTATTTTATAATTTTAGATGTTTAATTTGAATTATTTAATAATTTTACAAAGATTGAAAATTGAAGCTTGTAATACTTGAAGTTTTAGCTCCAAGCCGCATTCGGGACATAATCCAGTGATTCAAATCACAGAAGTGAGGTAGTTTCAACCTTACTGTCAGTTACAGTGTGAGGGTTCGATTCCTGAGATATGAAATTTGACTTTTTGTGGGTATCAGTATACGAGCAATCTCTTATTTTCTAACTTGTTAGGACACATTCCGCGATTTATTTACTTCACAGTACTCTAGAAACAGGGTGGTGGGAGCCTTGAAAATTGAGATTCAACCTTTTTAGTTTTACGTGAATACTGGTAAAAACTAATTTCCCACCTGTCAGTCATAGCTACAGACGCCTGTCCCTCATACATTTATATTGTTTTATATAACATCTCGCCTACGCACAGGCACATTATCAAGAAATGGGAAGCGCCGCCGCCGCCGCCGCCACCGCACCTACGCTGCTACAACCACCACCATGTGGAAGTGGTGGGGCAAAGGCGGAAGCTTTGACGTACATAGACATCAACCAGCTTTCCCAATCGGAATTGCGAGCCCTCTCTTTGTGCTCCGAATCTGCATTCGACCTTCACAACACCGACGACCTTGTGACCCCCGACATCGATCGCTCCCTATTTAATGAGTCTGCTGGGAGTCGACGCCAGGCTTATTCCGGCGTCCGCCACCCCCACCACCGCTCTCACTCCCGCCTTCCGGGCCTACATCCTGCCCTTAAAACCCACCACCATTCCCACCCCTCCGATGATCCTGTTAATCACTCGATTATCCACTTCCTTAAACACTTCCTCAATGGCAACCACGATCCTCCCCCACCTCCTCCTCCTCCACCTTTGCCGCCTCAGGCCGATTTGTTGCCAGTTCCTGTTAATGGCCCAGGGTTAGGGTTATTAAGACTTCAAGAAAAAATAAAACATAAGCTGCATGGAGGAGAAAACAAGCGGAAAAAATTGCGAAGAAACAGGAATTCAAATAAAAAGAGGCTCTTGGAAAATAGTGTTGGAATGGAATTACAGAAGGTAAATGTGAAGGGTGAGGTGGTTAATCTCGAGAAATTGGAGAAGAATGGAGACGAATTATTTAGCGAAGCGTTGAAGACGAGGACGATGGGGTTGGACACTGAGGAGGGTGTTCTAGGGTTTTTGTCGAGCTTGGAAGGACAGTGGTGTAGCAGGAGGAAAAAGAGGAAATATGTGGATGCAGGTGCGTTTGGTGATGCACTGCCTATCGGCTGGAAGCTTTTGCTTGGCCTTAGAAGGCGGGATTTTCGCGTCTCTGTTTATTGCCGGAGATGCATAAGGTTGTTGATTTCAAGTACTTTCATAAATAATTCTAGTTATTGCATACATTTTTAAAAAATACTTCCTTTATTGTGTTTTGTTACAGTTCAACGAAGTTGTATCATTTTATACACGCCTGAAAGGAGCAAGGAGAGAAACCTTGTTAAGGTCTATCTGGTGATTTTTTTAGTTAGGGCTAATTGGAAGAGAAATTAGAGCACAGTTTGAAATGTTTTTCTCAACTCTGATAAGAAGCTTTGAACTTGAAACAAATCTTTATGGGGGCTTTTGATGGATCTTTTCTAGTACATTTGGTCAGGAATGTCCTTTATTATATATTTTTAATACAAAAACTAGTGCAATCTTATGGAAGACCACCTTTTTTTGGTCCCAAATGAAAGGTGGCATTATTTGGTTTTTCCTTAAGAAGGCCTTATTGCAAACAGCCTCCATGTTAACCCAGTCTCATCTGATACCCTATTTCAAACGAAAACTATACCAGATTGAGTTTCAATAGGTTGGTGCTCGAATTCATGTATGCAAGTATCAGCCAGTAGGTATACAATCATGATATTTGAACAACTTGCAGCAAGTTCCTGTTGTGAGAAGATGGCCACTCAACCTCTTATTCTGTAATTATGACTTGACATATGGAAATTATTGAATTGGAGTCAAAAGTGCATCGGGAATAGTCTCGACGATGATCCCAAGGATCATCCTTCAAATTGACTTGATGTCAGTTGAATTGAAGAAAACAGGTCAAGTAGAAAGAACTTGAAATAGATTTTTGAGATACATGACTCCATCTTTTGGGTCAAGTAGCCTTCTCTGGGTAGTCACTTTTCAAATGTCAAACCTCAATCTTGGTAACTGGACCATTATCTAGTGGTTCTCTTTGACGCACTTCACGCTCGAACCCTATGCTCGTGAACAAGAGAATATAATCACTCCAAATCTCATCATTTCTAACAAATAAAACCATTAAGTTTTTTAATCCCGTGACTTGCAGTAGATAACTGAATTAGAAGGATTTAAAGGCTTGATCTTGCCACTGTTGAGTTGAAAAAGAGCTTTGGCAAATGATTTATAGCTTTATGTTTTTTCAGTTCATCTGAGTTAAACGGCATTGGACAACTGCAAGGGCATTTGGGGGACATCAAATAAATTACTGACTAGGAACACGAGACCCTTTTCTTTTGTAAATAAAAAAGAGTGCCTTTTTCACTTTTCCATCTAACACGGGCCTTTTGAGTTAATTTCTGTACAGGTTATTTATTTGAGATTATGTAGCTTTTAATGTCATAAAATTTACTCAACATTAGTCATTTTGAATTGCATCCTTCATTAATAGTGTAATGCCCTTTCTAGAAAAAAGTTATAGCTTGTAAACACGCCGGCCCTTTCTCATCGTTTTGTCATAATTTTGGACATTTATTGAACACAATTTAGCATTTTTTTTTATTGTTCTGACCTGCATCTTACACATGGATATTGCATTTCTGTCTTATATGTTATAAAATATCCTGTTTTCATCGGCCCTTTTTGGCTTTGTTCCTTTTCATTAAACTGCCTCATTTCTGCAAAAAGAGAAGTTGATACTTAAAATGTGTTAGCGTGACTCGAAATGGCTGTAATTGAAGCGTTGAAAATGAGTTATGAAGTGAATTTGCAATGGTCTTGGAAGCCTTACTGAGTGCATGCTGCACACTTGTCACTTCATTTTTGAGATTTGAAATTGCTTCACTTGTGGACTTAATCTTAATTCATCGTTTTGTTATTCCCAGCCCTACGGGACAACAATTTATATCATGCAAAGAGGCTTCTTCCTTTTTGCGTTCCTATTTTGAGGGTAATGATGCAGACCAACCAAGGGATCAGAAGACTTGCAGCATTCAGCAGGCATATGGTGTGGCTACTGAGGTTGTAAGTTTACTTTTGTGTCTTTATCAGTTTTTTCTGCAGTTTTTGCTGAAATGATAGTAATTAGAGATGCAACAGAATCCACATCCTACTGACAAGACTGATGGTGTAAAGCATGACATGCTGGCGCTTTCAACATTGGTGAGTTCAACTCCATCTGATGCTCATGAGAATGATGGTTGCTTGGTGGGAATAGATAATCTTCCGGAAGTTCGTGTTCAGGACATTTTTGAATGTGTCAAATGCAACCTGACTTTTGGTGAGAAGAAAGTGTTCTTGGAGCATCTATTCTCATTCCACAATAAGACTACCAAAAGGTACAGATTTGGGACCCCAGTTGGTGAGGGTGTGATAATTAGAGATGGAAAATATGAGTGCCAATTCTGTCACAAGGTTTTTGACGAAAGGCGAAGTTATAATGGTCATGTAGGCGTACATGTGAGGAACTCCAGTAAAGGTTCCGATGAACTGGTTACTCCTGTCACTGTCCAGGGGAACTCTCAATCTCCAGTACAGGAGGCTTTGCCCACGAGGACATCGAAAATGGATGCTTTAATAGAAATTGCTAAAAATTCTATTTTTGAAAATTCAAAGGCTGAAACAAGTGAACAAGCCACAGGAGATCAAAATCCCAGTGTGATGAACTTAGAAGAAGCTCAGGCTCCAAGCTCTGACTTTGAAATGAATTTGGGATCTGATCCTATTGAAATTCAGACAAAAGATTTCGAGCCTGACAAAGCTCCTAGTGAAGGATTGGATACACATGATGGCCAATCCAAGATGGAGGATGGGAACTTAGTGAGGAATGATAACAACACACAGAACATAAATGTTGCAGTCGGTTCCAATTACTCAGATGATTTTGAGCATGTTGAGTTGAATGAAATTGAAAATTATGAAAACAGTGAGTTAGAGACTGGTTTTGAAGACAGAGGTTCAAAGCCGAGCAAAGATCACATAGAAGATACTCCTGGGCTCATTGACGAAGAAATTAGTTTTCACAACGTGACTTCTGCTTCTTCAGTTCCCCTTGCTCCATCATTTCAGTACTTTCCTCCCTTTGATTCAATGTCATCTAAGGTAACTTTTAAATGAAATTATTTATTAAATGTTGATGATGTTTCTGTATTCCTGTTTCTATTTGGAAATGATGGCAATGCAAAGCTTCTTGGATCTGGGTTCCCTTGAGTTAATTCTATGATATTGGCTGAAGTAAAGGATCTTGTATGTGATGCTATAACATCCCATGTATCACTTTGATTAAAGTCACTTGAATCACATTCATCAATAAAATGTGCACACAACACATTATTCAAGTAGCATGTTACGATTTTGTAACTTATCGATCAAGTTTCCATCTGGCCTCCAATGTTGTAGTTGACGATAGTCTTCCTTAACACGAGATACCCTTTCAAGGGCTTGGTTCTTAATTCTTTTAGGTCTCTTGTAGCGATGCATTTTGTGTTTGTTAAATTTCCAAATGCGTAGTTTGTTTTAAATATTTTCTTAGCAGTGTATATTTGCCGCAATCATCGTTATACTAAGTGGTCTGCTCATGAGGTACATGCAATTGACATGTTGCTCACAGCTACCCCCAATCAAAGGAGTCATCCCAACTATGTGTAAGCACAGGAACCCCCATCATGATGTTCACAACTACCCCTGCAACCATGGAAGGGTATCCCTACATGTGTATTTTCTTTCCTTAGTGTGCCTAGCTACTGGGCGTTTGCTCAATGTCCCCTTTTTATGAATCTTTTAAACAATATTGACTTCTTTACATGCCAATATTATTCTATCATGCTATTAGGTGTATGAACATGCATATGCTTAAGTCATGCTAACGAGTACCTTGTCCGTTTCAAATTTTTGCTCATGTAAAGAGTATGAATAATGTATAATAATTTTGTGTCATAGTTGAAACAAACATTTACTTACCTTGGTCTGTAGACAATTTTTTGTAAGTTAAAGGTGCTAAGTTCCTGCATTTGGGTCTGAGGTACAAAAGTTATCTTAAAGATCTTGAAATCATCGTAAACTCGCAATAATATAGCTGTTTGAGATCGTCGTAAAATCAGAATAATAGCTGTCATACTTTCATATCGAATTCCCCAAGTTTACAACTGAATATTATTCTTTTGGGGCTTAGAGGATTCGGGTGTCAATACGTGACCTTGGAGGTATTGATACCAGGGCCTGATGCGTTGGAGAAATTTTGATTTTTTTAAATCTGTATGGAAATGTGAGGACACTTACCTTTATTTTTTTTATTCTAACTTATTAATATTGTTCTCTTTTTAGACGGTGTGTGTTTAATATTCTAGCATGCTTACTTGCAGGTTGAACAGGGATTCTCTGTGATTGATCCGAAGCTTGAGAATGTTACAGGTTTTGAGGAGCTGAGATTTGATGATATAGAACCTTTCAGATATGGTTTTGTGAATGGACAAGAATCACTGTCTTTGCCAGGGGGTTCAATAGATTTGAGAAACAATGCTGGGATAGAAGACGGGTTTAATTCCTCTATTAGATTTGGTTCGGAGGAAGTTACATTGAGTACAACAGACATAAATCAGCTGACAACTGTGTGTGTATGGTGCAGAACAGAGTTCAAACTCGATGGTGTTGAATCAGAATCTCCATCAGATTCGATTGGCTATATGTGTCCAACATGCAAGGATAATATCTCTGGGCATTTGAATGGCAGTCTGTCCATGGATCCTGGTGGTTTCTGATTGTTGCAATATTTTGTGTTGCTCGAGGATTAATACTCTCATATGGTACAGAGTAATTCATGCTTGCTAATTGTTGTGATCTTTCTACATTTATTAGGTTTCCCCCTAACTTCATTATTTATTGAAATTCAAGTAAACACGAACACTTGTTCAGGTAATTCAGAGTAGGTAACATTGTTCTTCTGTGAGAGCTTGTGCTCTTTAGAGTTGAGCTGACCGGGATGATGCCCTGAATTGAGCTGAATCAATGTCACTATCACTGTTACTTTTTTTAAAAACTAAAATTGAACTGCTTCTCTCTTATAATGTTTCTTTCGCAATGTAAAGAATTTTATAGGGCCACATATTTAACTATATTTTTAGTGGTAGGCTTACATTGCTCCTTTATAATAGGACTAGCATGTACTCACAACTTTTGGTAAGTATGATGTCCATACACATAGTTGTTGGTTGAACATTGGACAGAAACAATTACTATAGACCATGCTGACAATATCCTACTGTCTACTTTCTCTTTAGCAGCAACATGGTGATGATTCCTGGTGGCAGACAATTCCAGCTAATGTGGAGTAATGCAGTTTTTTCTCGTGGAGGCAATGGTCCTTTCTTTTAAGTATGCATTGTACATGCAGTTTAACTAGTCGTGGAGATAAGCCCAGTGTTCTTAGTAGTTTGCTTGCTATATATTTCTTCACAGCACTTTCTTGTATTTAATCCTTTCTTCTAATGACCTGGTTCTAAAGAAAAAAGTCGATTTGCCTGTGTTCGATGTAACTAGTATTGTGTATTTGTTCATCTATGGACCTTTTCTTTTTCTTTATCCCACATTTTATTTTGTGCTAATATGTTTTAATTGTCTATTGCTGTCATGTGGATTTTGGTATCTTCAAGCCTGATGGGTATTGTGCTTGGAAGTTGACCTGCTTTCTCAAAATTACTTTTCTTGATTGCGCTGGGGAATTGCTTTTGGCCCAGCATATGATGCTTTGAAGACCGGAATTTCCATGGCACCTTTCAATTTGGCATCTCTTTACCCAATTAAGCGTCTGTTTTATTTTATGCTGTAGAACTAGATTTGTATAACGAGTTCACCTTAAATTTCAGGCCAAAATTTTATCATCTTAATATTTAAAAATTCCAATCCGATTCAAATCCCAGAAAATTCCAACTTCGTCTCTCTCTCTCTCTCTCTCACATATATTAAACGAGGAAGAGTCAAAATTACAGAAGTTCATCCCAATTTGTTTTCCTTATTTCTTTCCCTTCTTGAAAGTCCTTGTTTCTTTGCACTCTCTTATCTAATTTAATATTCTCTAAACGAACTCAAATTTTAATTTGAGTTTGATATCTAACTGGATATATCCATACTCAGAATCAATTTAGTCAAAAGTTTAAGTGCAAAGGAATTATCTGGTCTACAACATGAAAATGAAATGGACACCTGAATTTGGTTATCTACCTTGAGGCATGGATGAAGCAACAAAAAGTTGCCGAAGTTGGCCTATAAAAGAAATCTACCTAGTGATCACATTACGTTGTATCAAGCTTCCTGTTGCATTTCAATTCCCAGTAATCAGGCAAAAACAAGGGATATGGAATCAAGGAAACTTAGGAAAGATATATGCAGGCACGGTGGGGAGACATTGCTCATTGCTGGGGTCTCTTGAGGCACGAACCATATACTGTCCAATGTGTGGTGCTAATACAATACTTCAAATACCACAGCAGCAGTACCACAGCAGCTGGTCCCTCCTCCTGCGCATGGACAGGTGTTATGCCGTTATCTACAAGGGACATCCAAAGACTGTCGAGGGTAGCATCAATGACGTGTTATTGACGAAAAATCTTCTGGTTAAGAGGTTGGGCATTCCCAATTCTTCCATCGATTTTCTTGCAGGAATCACCAGCTCTCTCTCTCTCTCTCTGTCCTACCAAAAATAGTCTTTCTATAATGCCTATACAGCTCAAAACTAGTAATTGTTAGAATATGCCTGCACCAAACACCAGCAGATTCCAACAGATTCCAGTAGCTTCCAGCTTCTTCCAGATTTCAGCTGTAATGTTAGTTACTAGTTTGTTAGTTGGTTAGTTCTTTTCTCTATAAATACAGCATGGTGTATTCATTGTAAATCATTGGATTGCATTTTCCAATCCCTCCTTTCATGGAGGTTTCTTCTCCTCCTTTCATGTAGTGTATTTCATTTTCCTCCTATCATGGAGTGTTTCTTTTATGGAACTTATTCCGGTTCCATTGTATCTTGTTCTTCTCCATTTATGGAGTTTAATATATTGTTTCTCATTCAAGAATTTAAAAGTAATATTATCTACAGTCCACCTTAAGCGAAGAAGATAAACAACAATTCTGAATTCCAGTATCTCATATTTCATTCTGACATAGTACTGCAGAAGAAGAGGGAGACCCCTACAGGATTCCAACTAAGTACAATATCCAAACATCCCTCCCCTGGCTTATTCAAAGTTGCAGGTCAGGAGACTCCTAAGCGTTTTTCTACTGGGGCCATGGCTCAAGAGTAAGAAATTGTAATGGGGATGAAATAGATGGAGATGATGAAGATGAATCATTGTTACCTGTTGACTACAAGACTGAAGGAAGGCTACTGGACAACGAGATCAATACCACCATTGTGAGGCCACTACCCCATGGAGCTACACTTCATGCCATTGCTGACACGTCCTTCAGTGAAACCCCTTAGATCTCCCATTTATGTGCAGGATAAACAGGTTAGAATTTAAACATACATATTATGAAAAAATTATCTCAACATCATCGACCTAACCCGTCATTTCAGGGAAGGATATTTTAAGTGGGGAGATCACCGCATACCACATGCTGCATATAAAGGTACCCTTGGGGGAAATGCCATATCTATTAGTGCCTGTGATGATCATAGAAATTCCGCTGATCCCACGGTTAGTGGTCAAGAACCTCTTTTCCTCCTAGATTTTCTGGGAATATTCTTAAATCTTAATTAAATCAAGCAGCTTTATATCAAAACCTCGGTAGCTGAGTGGGTTGTGATATGGTGAAACTGTCAACTGCTTCTGCATATCCTGATGCAGTACGAAGATTATTCATCTAAATCTTCACCTTACTTCCTATAAAGACAGGTGAAGTATTTTAAATATCTTGTCAACCTTTAAAATAACCAAACCGCAACTTTATAGTTCAAGAGCAGGATACTGTAATATTGTTCAAGGATGTGTTAGCTGATATACTGGCGGATTCAAAAATTTATATTCATTGTGTCTTCCATTACCTTTTCGTGGATGGCCTAGTCCGGCTGAGCAAAATATTAGTTATGAGCTCTTTAGGATGACTGTTCCTTTCTTGGTAATTTTAAAGAAAAACAACTACCTTCACTAGCATAAACTTGTAATTTACTATACAAATCATAAATCTGGAACATATTCCCGTCTAGTTTCTTAATACATTTATTAGTTATCATAGAATTCAAATTAAAACTATTAGATTAATTTATCCAAGAACACCAGAAGAGCACGAAAAAAGGGAAAAAGGAAAACTTACTTCATCTATGAATTTTTGTAGATGAAACTTAGACGAGTATCACAGGTGAGTGTACATGTCATGATTTGGTTTGGCACTTTATTTAATCTAGAAAAATTTTGTTTAGTAACTTAAGATTTCAGATCAAGATTTGGTTGAACACAAGTGATGAATTTTCTCTCCCTAACTGTTGGCTAAACTCTGTCCGCACCTCTGTATCATGACTGTTGAAGTTTGATGGATTGCTTCTATGATGTAAATCCATGACATCAGAATTTCCTCAGATTATCAATGAGGATTGAATAATAAATATCTATACAGTCAAAGGGGGTTGAAGCAGGTGTGGATTAAGAAACAAATGAAAATAGGCACAATATCGTTATCGGGTCAATAAATTCTTCTCATGCACTAGCTTTCCATGTTTTCATATTGCTTTCTTCGGAGTCAGAAAAGAAATGAAATAATGCATAGTGAGCTATTGTAATGTGAAAAGAAGGAACATAGAGATGCCAACTACATATTCCTATATTACTTGAAAAAAAAAAAAGAAAACTTGGAGGCGAGTGTGTCTCCACTTCCTAGACATGTTATTACAATCCTACTTCAAGGATAATGCAAAAAAAGTTTCATTTTCCAGATCATCTTTGCAATCCTAACCTCTCACATTTTTGAGCAAAGGTGTGGCCTTTACTCTAGTTTTCAGAAACCTGAACCTTACATCCAAGCAAGAAGGAAGAATAGGTTTTTGTCCTACAAACTACTGTTGTTCTGTCCATGAATCCGGATGAACGTCAATATCTAATTTAGGTAGCAATTACATTGTTAATACAAGAACAAAACCAATCAAAGGTATATACATGCATAAATTACAGAGTCCAACAGAGAACCCAAGAGGAAGCGCAGTGATCCTAATTGTCTAGTACTCACATCTCGTGTTTGAAGAGAAAACCCATTGCACATAAGAGACTAAAAATTAATGCATTAAACTAGATAAGGGAGTTCAATTTTGCTTATCATTTGGCTGCTTAATATTTTCAAGAGACTGTGTGATATAAGTATGTAATATCCATAGTTTGTTTATCTGTAATACAAACTATAAATCTTTCTTTTCCTTGAAGTCCACTAAAGCTATCCCGTCAAAGGTAATTTGGGTCATAAGTTATTTTCTTGGTGTTCCGTAGGAACATGAACCATCTACTTCTCAAATGTTTAACATTCAATCAAAGCCTTCACTTTATGAAGTATATAGGCCATCAATTTCCATGGCTGATCTATGAACACTAATAATAAGAACCGTCTATGCACCCTTGTTAAATACCTCCATTCAACGTTGGCAAGCTATGTACTATAAAGCTTAAAAGTCAGATACGAAATAATAATCCTAGTTTCTGTGTGATAATTGTAATTGGTATTGCTATTACCAATATATTTCAACAAAGTCCATAATGTTTGCATAAGCTAAAGGATCTTATCTCTTTCTCGTCTCGTGCTTTATATAATGTGTTGTATTATAAATATTTTCGTGTCCTTGAATACCAGGAAACACACAGGGAACCTAGACCTTGACAGGGTAACAGAACGATTTCAAAGTTGAACACTGCACCCAAGGAACACATTTTATTGTGACTATAATTGATATACCATCCATAACATTTTGAAAATGAACAAAAAATGCATAACGCCGCTTCCAATGGCAGAGAAAGGTTAACAGTTGAAGTTAGTTTTTGAATTAGTTTGCTGATGAGCGTAAGAAAGAACAATCAGTGGAACTTGACCAAGCACGTAATACCCCAGTGAACAGTATATACAAGGATCAGATCCCTATATAAAAGGGATATTGTTTTATCTACGATATAGGATTTGCAATTCTGAAATCCATTTTTGATTCTTTAGAACAATCAGATCCCTAAATAAAAATATGTTGTACTTCACAGATGCTTTAGGTGGAATAGCAGATGACACATTATTGTCACGTGATAACATATGCTCATTCTTCATAGTAGCATCCTCCCGTGTGAAGCCATTTCACACTACTTTCCTCCCATTGGTCTTGAAAGATGTCCTGCAACAGAGAATTGTTCTGACAGAAAATATTGCCATTTTGCTTCAACATGGCCAAATCATTTCTTGCCTCTTCCTTCTAGGGAGGCTTATTTATCGTAAATGAGAAGGTACCTCCTCCAATCTTTATGACGGTAGGACCGGACAAAGTGACAGACTGATTCCCCTCTTAATAAGCACTCCCCTAGTTTTGAACTGATGAGCTTCATCTTCTAGAAGTATTCTAATGTACCCGAAATTCTATTTCTCACTCACTCGTTCTCTCACATGTGGACTTGCATCCCACACATGTAATTCGCCTCAAATGTGAGCCACACTTTCTGATGCTTGATGCTAAATATCCTGAAAAAATTGAAACTGTACAAGTCTCAACCAAATTAAAGTCAAGCAAAGTGGTGGGGCATTTATCAACTCAGGCAAAAGCAAAGAATCTAATTCCCAGCCCTTTTCTCTTAAGTGGAATAAAGCTAATATTCTAAGGACAACTTCTACTCAGTTAACTTCTGATTTATATCAGTAATTTCAACATCTATATTGTATTGACCCCAAGGGAGTGCAGAAATGGAAATGACAGGCAAGAGAATGAGATGCAGTCGTTGCGGTGCGCAACTAATGGTTCCCCCCAACACATATACATTTCAATGTCCAACATGTCTAACTGTAATCCGGGTTCAACCTAACAATCCTCTACGGCAAGTTCATGACTCAATACGCCAAACAGCTAGCAGGATGAAGGATTTGCTCTATACAGTATCCAGCAACACAAATACAAGCGTATTTTCAGGGAATGGCTATCCGTATTCATGGGCATCAGGTAATTCTCATTATTCACAATCAGTTGCACCTTCCTTGCCATTTTCAGCACACGGAAGGAAGCGAGCAGTGTTATGTGGAGTAAGCTACTATGGACAGAAATACAGGCTAAAGGGAACTGTCAATGATGTAAAATGTATGAGATATTTTCTGATTCAGCATCTGGGTTTTCCAAGTGACTCCATACTTGTCCTCACTGGTATGAGTATTATTAAAATATCTTTTTTCACTCTCTCAACTCATTGTCGCTACGAACAGTTCAGCTATATCCACTCAGCTTAATGTTAGCTCACATCCGTCAAGCAATTTCTACGAAACATGCAAATGTTTGTCCGTCTTAAACTTAACGAGATCTCCTTTGGACACACATGTAGATGAAACTCTTTAAGGAAATAGATTGGACACTGCAAAAGCCTGCAATAGAGAGCTGACATAATAAAATAGCTGCTCTGATGGAAACTAGTTCTCAGAAGAGGCTATAAATTGGACTGTAATTTATAACCAATGTTAAGTTCAATCTTTCATGCCCCTTTTCCTCTTGCATATCTAAATATAAAATGGTAAATTAAAACGATAAGAAATAACCTGAGATAACTTGTTTTGGCCAACTTCAGGTAACTTAAAAAATAATATTTATGACTTGGAAGAAAGAAAAAAAGAGAAGTCTCACTTGTTATTCTGATGGATACAAATCAACATGCAGAAGAAGAGTCTGACCCTTGCCTGATCCCAACAAAGCATAATATCCGAATGGCCTTGCATTGGCTTGTTCAAGGATGCCAATCAGGGGACTCGTTGGTATTTCACTACTCAGGCCATGGCTCGCAACGACTTGACTTCAACATGGATGAGGTAGACGGGTACGATGAGATGTTGTGGCCTGTAGATCACCAGACGGCGGGAAAAATATCAGATGATGATATTAATGCCACCATTGTGAGACCACTGCCCCAAGGAACCAAACTTCATGCTATCATTGATGCATGCCACAGTGGCACAATTCTTGATCTGCCATTTGTATGCCGAATGAATAGGTCAGTGTTGTCCTCCTTGGTTTGACCTACACAAACTGCCCACTTCAAGAAGTCTATCTTCATTTCTAGAGCAAGGGTTACTAAAATTATTATGGTTATAGAAAATAAATTGCCAATCTATGATCTGAAAGTCAGATCTCTCATTAATATCAAAATGTTCACTATGTCCTCCAGGGAAGGGTACTATCATTGGAAAGATCATGGTATCCAGTCACCTATTTACAAAGGTACAAACGGCGGGCTAGCTGTCTCCATAAGTGCATGTGATGATCATCAAGTTTCAGTAGATACTACAGTCTGTAACTATTCTTCCCTTTCTTCCTGTTCAATATGCAATAAATTACATTTTATCTTTCTAAAAGCTACGGACACAGCCATAATGTTTTCTCATTTTTAATATCATGAGCACTTGGAAGCATGAATGTTAATATAGGCGCAACCTTGACACAAATGTCTAGCAATAAAAGTTAATACATGAAACTCAATAATTGAAGAAATAGCACCAAATAAGTTAAAGAGTAGGACATAATTGATGAGAGGAAAAATATACTTTTGAATTTGTTTTTTGTACTAGTACCAATCTACTTTTAGGTGCATTTCCAGCTGCATAGGGATTTGAATGAGTGATATTGGCCATTCATGCAACCACACATAGGACAGTAGCACTCCAGCAGTAATAGAAAATTTTCCCTGTGACAGATAGTTTGCATGTATATATTTAACTCAACAGAATAGAAGAGAATGGTTTTGTTCATAAATCTACTTACATCTGCAGTTCTTATTACATGTACAGGCTCTATCTGGTGACACTGCAACTGGTGCAATGACATATAGCTTTATCCAAGCTGTACAAAACGAGCCTGGATTATCATATGGTCGATTACTAAATGTCATGAGCAAGACAATTCACGACGCCAAAAAAAGACAACTCCTAAATGGTTCCATTGCATCCCTTGCCAAAAAGTTACTCTTCTCAAAGTCATCACAGGTAAGCATTCTGTTTATGCAAATTCTGAATGATGGATTTTGAATGCAGCACAGGCGTATCCAACTTTCAAAATATAAAAGGGAATTTAGGTTTCTAGCAAATAATGTTTCTGAATTCTTCGTTATTTCTAAGCACCTATAGAGTAGAAACCAAATAGGAAAATCATAACTGATACGATGAATTCCTCACTATTGAAGCAAAGTGTAAGAAAAATACTTCCTCACTTGTCAAAAAATGTAAGAATACAACACCTTAAATTTCTTCAGTAATTAATTTACGTTAACGTTCATAAACTTGAAAACAGAATGAAGTTTAGTCAGAGAATTACGGTAAAAATTTGTTTACCTTTATCATCATCTTGACATGGTTGATGTCAATTGTAATCTTTTGATTTCTTGGTGTGTTTTCAGGAGCCTCAACTATCATCATCTCAGAAATTTGATATTTACTCAACACCGTTCACTCTGTAAGACTGTATTTTCAGTTTAGGAAGTTGAACTTTGTTATCAAAATTAGAATGGAGAAAACATGAGATTGTAGTTAATTCAAGAAATCGAATTTCTGAAGCCTAGCAATGAAACATCATCAACTATTTTAGTTCTTTGCCTATACCTCCAGGCAGAAGAAACGTCCCAGTTACATAATTTTTCCTTTTCCATTCTCAAGCTCAAGTCATACATAATTTTCCTCTCTTCCATTTGTAACCTCACGTCCTTATGTTCTGGCAGACTAGTTAAGCATGCATGTACTCTTGAGTGAAGTGCATATTTCATGACAATTTTATTGTGTTTTTATTATCTTAGTAAATACTGATAAAAAAATAATTTACGGATTATATTATATGTTCTTTATTTTCTTTTGAATGATATAAAATACAGGCTTCGGAGGCCTCATCATCGACAGTTGTAGTTACTTGCATGAAGATTCACCCTAAGACTATTGTTTATCGCTCTAGGCTAGGATTAGCTCTTAGGACCTAGAGAGGGTACTTCAGCACAAACCTGCTTTCATGGGGTTCGTAATGAGGGGGCAAGATGTTGCTAGGCCTAGTGGGCAGGGGACACAGAAGATGGGACAAGTAGATAAGCCCATAGATGAATTTGATGAGTTTGTGGATGAGCAGGCGGACGAAACTTTGAGGGAGTCTAATGTTCCAGCTTCATTCGAAGAGGAAGAAGATGAGTCCCAGGAGGAAGAGATGAGAAAAGAGGCGGTTGAAGAGAGAGAGTCAGAGTTTAGGCTTCGACCCTGTGAAGGCAGGTGAATGAACAACAATTGATATTTAGGGAGAATTTTCATATGACCAACCACATCGAACTTCTCTGTACCACCAGTTCCCAGATGGTTGACAACCCTCCCGAGGGCTTCATTGCAACAAACAACTCTTCCTTGATGCCAGCCTTTGCCTACCTCGTCACCCATTTTACAGAGATTTCCTAAGACAATACAACCTGGTTCCGACTAGCATTATATATACCTGATTCTCTATATAATAATGTGGTGGCGATGTACAGGCAATGAATGCAAGATAATTAACTAGTCAATCAAGATACACCACCATAAATCCAGTATAAGAAAGAATCTCATTATTAGCTAATCATATTTCTTCAAGCAATGCTATAAAGTTTCCATATATTAATGCTGAGGACCCGTGCATCTGTGCCATTGCTTGCACAGAATAGCAACAGCAGCCATGAAATGAGCAGTTTCATTTTAGTTTGCCTTTGTTGCTCTATTATGTTTTTTTCATCTATATTTTTCCTCATATCTTTCGACTGCTTGATCAAGAATGCTATAAATACAGCTAGGAATTAAGAAAAACTTTTGTTATCAATACAAGTGAGGCAAAAAGTGAAAATTGATGCAATGATCATCAATTTCTTCGTCTACTGGTTAATCAAACAAGAAATTGCGCCACGGAACAATACAATGAACATAATTTCATACTTCTTTTCTTAGTATTGGACGTGATAACAAGTCATGTCATTGAAGTCGGGACTCGAGCTATTTTTTCTAGATTTAGCATTTGTTTTTTCCCTATATTTTGGACCAAATCTAAATAATTGTCCGTAATAATATATGCCTATCTTCAACTTAACTAACAAGGAATTAGGAAAATTGTTATGTGCCAAGTAGTACTTGACTAAGAAGCCTTGAAGCCGTGGCTCAGCCGAAACAGCAAGCCAAGCCAACTAAGTTAGAAGCTGAAGCACATTTACAAACCGCTTCTTCTGAAGCAATACAAGCTGCCATCTTCTGAGCCAACCACAAAACTTCAGCCACCAGCTTCCCAACCTGCTTAGCCCATCCTTAAGATATCACATGTACAGAATCGAAAAATGCTTTCAGATTGTACTCGCTCAAGGAAATTTGACACCCGAGCTGAAAGTTACGCTCATTTTCGTAGACGCTTCTTATTTCTCCTCTTTTTCAATTGCTTCATGATCTTCTCTTCTAACTGTTCCGCAGCAGACACCCCACCGGAGAGAGGCAGTTCATGACTGTCAGCTCTGTTAGTCTTCAAAGAGTAATTGTAGGATTCAACAGAAGAATTCAAACCAGGGAATAATAGATCAAAAGTCGATGAAAGAAAAGAAAAGTTGAGAAGAAAACAACGTAGAAGTTCAAGAAGTCTATATTTTTCTGTTAAGAATACAAGGGGATTATCTGCATAGAAAAACAGAGAAGTAAATAAATTCCTGAGATTGAAATGAGCTATGGCGGTCGGTGAACTCTCCATTATAGGCCCTTGTTTTTAACTTATCTTTTTTGTGAGTCTTTTAATATGAAGTGGCGATTGATATGTTCTGAAAGATATGACATTATATAGAAAGAAATGGCTCTTCATGGAATAAGAATCAATGCAAGTATACGAGGAAAGAGGCTAGTGTGTTACACCAGAGGCAAACCGGCTAACAAAGAAATTGCTCATGCTGGCCTTGTCAACTATTTTTTTTTTAATTTGAACTGTATTAGTCTGTTCGCTTGACCCATAAATAAATTTTCTTGGTAAGCAGATTATTTGGACAGTTGAAATGTTGTTTGAGTAGGAAATGAGTGGTGGACAGGACAATTGTTTCATTAGTTTGTATGACCTGTGAATGAGACAGAGACCAGCGTATTTAATGGGCCTTCATACACAAAATTGTATATTGTGAATGACTCAAATATTGCTTATCAACCTCAACTGGACGAGGCTGCCACGGAAACTTGGGCACTCAAAAGGGAAGAAACCGTGACCCATTCCTTTCATTTTTCGATCGAAAAGACAAGATCATCAATGACAGTTTCCGTCTGATAAATGCTTTACACCCACATACTTTTTGAAACTAATTTTCTTTTCTTCCATCTAACAATGTTTCAAGCTGGCTTTTACGTTTGTAGATATTATTCAACAGTTTTATTAGTGATAAAATGAACTTACATGACTAATCTCCTACCCATAATGGGGAGGAGATATGTTACCCACTGGTGATGTGGCAAGGGGTTTAAAACACCAGGTGTTGCCACATCATTGGTGGGCAACATATCTATGGGCAGGAGATCAGTTCTGAATAGACGTATAAGCAATATAGTTACACATCCGGATTGAGATTTTCGAAATAATTACATCATAAAAAAGTTAGAACCTTTTATTGAAAACTATATACACAAATAATAATGAAACGTCAAATTTCAAAAAACAAAAAGATATAGAAAAAGAATCATTAATAAACAATAAATGTGATAAAAAAAAAAAAAAATTGGTCCCTTTCTACGTAGAAAGTCTCAATATAGTTAGGTGACACTAAAGAGGCGATACTTGGGTTGTTGAGGTTGAGATGAGTAAGAAACGGACGAGCTCTGGAGAAAAGATTTTAATTCTCTGGAGAATTCCTTTGGCTTTTCAATGTTAACAGCATGTCCCGCATTTTTTATCACTACTAACCGAGTCTTCTCCCCTATATGCCTGCAAATTTTAGCTCATAGGTAAAAACAAGAAATGAAAATAACACATGATGTGCACGTTTGGTATAAAGATTTGAAAAAGTTTGGATTCGAAGAAGAGGAACAAGGATTTTTCTGCACTAATACGACTCAAAGAAAACAGCCATTCATGGTCAAGCAGCGATAGGCGGTCTGGGGTCACATCCACTTGATCCTCACAGATCCAACTCAATCTTTTACGCCGATGTATCGTACTCTCTCGACCATGTCATCAAAAAGTCTGTTGTGTATTGTCATGTCATGTATAATGTACCAACAAGACATTTTCACATTATGAAAATAGGGAACTTATATTCTTACGTTTGGAGTCTATGTCCCAATTCTACTGGAAATATTCTGTCCTGCTCTCCCCAGATGATCAATGTAGACTGTTTCAAGAAACAAAATTTGAACATGAACAATTTATAACAGAATTTTATCTATTTCTTACTAGTCGAAAGACTCGTAAAATTTATATATGTGAATATAGATAACCTGTCTTATTTTTGGAATATTAGAAATTTGTCTATCTTTCAGTATTGCTTGGATTAGTTCCTTCTTCTGTTTTATATGATCTGTACAGAAAACCTGCCCAAGTAATTGAATATTAGTTATACGCTTGGAAAAATTGATTGAATGAGGAAAAAAAAAAAAGAAAAAGTTACATCGATATAATCAGAAAGGAAGCAAGAAGGCACGACTTTAACAGGCTTCACAAAAGCAAATTTCATCAATTCCCTTAATTTATCCGGCGTTTGTGGCATCAAAATGCTGGCGGCTTCATCCAAATCCGCCACCTGAAAAAGCCCATCTCTCATATCTTTCTCCTCCAGACACACGCCGGTACAGCAAAGCACCACCTTCTCTACCGCCTGCGGAAACTGCGCCGCCATGCTATACCCAACAAACCCACCATAACTTATCCCCACCAGGCTCAATTTTTGCACCCCATACCTCTCCATCAATCTCATAACACATTGTGCTTGAAACGCCTCTGTTCTCTCCGGCCGCTTTGTGGTGGAGTCGCCGAAGAAGAGAAGATCCGGCACGTATATGTTGAACCGGGGCATGAAGTGGCGGAGAAGATCCCCGTATTGCCACATTGCATTGGCTCCGAAGCCATGCACGAGGAGGAGATTAGGTTTTGCTGGCTTCACAGTTTTTGGTGCCCAACAATGCATGACGGTACCGTCCTCTAAATCTGTCGTCACCGACCGTGGGAAAAAAAAAAACTTACATCGATGTAATCAGAAAGGAAGCAAGAAGGCACGACTTTAACAGGCTTCACAAAAGCAAATTTCATCAATTCCCTTAATTTATCCGGCGTTTGTGGCATCAAAATGCTGGCGGCTTCATCCAAGTCCGCCACCTGAAAAAGCCCATCTCTCATATCTTTCTCCTCCAGGCACACGCCGGTACAGCAAAGCACCACCTTCTCCACCGCCTGCGGAAACTGCGCCGCCATGCTGTACCCAACAAACCCACCATAACTTATCCCCACAAGGCTCAATTTTTGCACCCCATACCTCTCCATCAATCTCATAACACATTGTGCTTGAAACGCCTCTGTCCTCTCCGGCCGCTTTGTAGTGGAGTCGCCGAAGAAGAGAAGATCCGGCACGTATATGTTGAACCGGGGCATGAAGTGGCGGAGAAGATCCCCGTATTGCCACATTGCATTGGCTCCGAAGCCATGCACGAGGAGAAGATTAGGTTTTGCTGGCTTCACAGTTTTTGGTGCCCAACAATGCATGACGGTACCGTCCTCTAAATCTGTCGTCACCGACCGTAGCCCGGAATACGAGAAAAAATTCCGGTAGAGCCAATCTGCTGATCCTGTGAAACTCAGGCATCTGGCCATTCTTTATCCACTGTGATTATCAAGAAATTTCTATAAAAACTATTTTATAAAAATATCCTTTCACACTTTGTTGGTTTAAAATTTATAACTAAGAAAAGACAATGTTGAAGGAATTGGTGTGAGGCAACGCAACGACGGACAACTATGAATATAGGGTTCCAGAGGAGAGATTGTTCCAAAAACATTTGCTCGCGTTTTTTTAGGTTTATTTTCGGCAAAAATAATTTTTTTTCCTTAAAAAAGAATAATATTAATATAATATAAACATCGTGATGCCCATTTAATGTAGGACGGTACACAAAATTGAAATTTTTTTGAATCTACGTGCAAAATATTTTATAGTTTGAACGAATGATTAAAAATGAGAGTGAAAATTAAAAAATTTTGAAATAATAATTATCAAACAGAGGCAAATACTGAACGGTTAGTGATCTGTATCCTTTAAAGAGTACACAAACAATGAAGCAAAGCCAAAATGGCCATCTTCTTGATATATGGCTGAAAGAAAGAAAGCTTGTCCTATTTTGATTATTACAAATACAACCCGGCTATGAATTTTGAAAAAATTATAGTGAAATTCTACAAAGAAGACTGGAAAATAAGAGAGAATAAATATAAGAAAAGGAAACAGATCATTTTCACACTTAAAAAAGAATAATATTAATATAATATAAACATCGTGATGCCCATTTAATGTAGGATTGAAATTTTTTTGAATCTACGTGCAAAATATTTTATAGTTTGAACGTATGATTAAAAATGAGAGTGAAAATTAAAAAATTTTGAAATAATAATTATCAAACAGAGGTAAATACTGAACGGTTAGTAATCTGTATCCTTTAAAGAGTACACAAACAATGAAGCAAAGCCAAAATGGCCATCTTCTTGATATATGGCTGAAAGAAAGAAAGCTTGTCCTATTTTGATTATTACAAATACAACCCGGCTATGAATTATGAAAAAATTATAGTGAAATTCTACAAAGAAGACTGGAAAATAAGAGAGAATAAATATAAGAAAAGGAAACAGATCATTTTCACGGCCTTTCAGAATAAATTTGATTTTTGTACTGGATTCTTTGGGATTTCAAACTTCTGCAACCTACCAAATCATGTCTTCTGGTAACCGCCTAATATACAACAGCTGCATGAAACATTAAGATTGTGCATTTTACCCCTTGAATCGGACAACAATGCAGGAGATATCATCTTTACTTTCTCTTTTCAATGCTTCCATTGCTAATTGTTTGGCTGCCTTCTGTGGGTCTTTGATCTTCTTCGCAATATCAATGGCCTCTTGATTCGACATTACCTGGAGCATCCACAACCAAGACGAACCCAATATGGGGGTTGGTTATAAATCCAGAAGGAAAAGGAGGAGATGGGACAAGTAAAGGTCGGGAAGCAAGTAGGCACCTTCCACAAACCGTCGCTAGCAAGGATAAGAAGTTCGGTATACCCATCAATTGGAGCGTCTGTAATATCAGGGTCGGATCGCAGGTGAGTTTTCAAGTTTTTGTCTCCAAAAGCACGAGAAACTGCTAACTGGCCATCCACTCTTGCAACGTCTCCTGGTATAAGAAGCATCAGAACAGATTTTTATGACTTGAATACCTTAAGCAGTCCATAATAATGTGATTCGACACCAAGCAAAATATACTTCATGTTGAATGAGTACAGCAATAAATTGATCTAGTCCAAAAGTTCAGGAAGAACAAGGACGCAATCAAACAAAACGAATGTTTTAGCACAAGTGTGTCTTCTACAGTAAATGAATTCTGTATGCAGATTAATCATTTGCAGGAGCAATTCTAGAAAAGTGAATAATTTGTGCGTAAAGTACAAAGATCAAAAAATTATTTTATCAACATATCACCAAGTTTGTTAGTAGAAGAATGAAGAGATCATGCATATCCTATTTTATCAACAAATCATGCAAATAATCTACATATTCACCACCAAGCATGCGGTCTTTCGAAATTGCTTTAACCTAAAACCATGGACAAGTTTTTAGCATATAACACAGATGGAGATCCCCCAAAAAATCAAGTGCCAATAGGTTCACTGCATATACCATTTGGACCTTGTCCAAAACCTATCCTTTTCCACCGCCTTCCTCAGTTCAACTAAATTCTCGAGACTTTAGCTTTTAGACAGTGCATGTCAAATGCAATGTTGTAGCTCTAGCCAAGTGCAACATTCTGCTACTAAGGTTCAAAAACCACCCAAAAAAAACAATGAAAAAGTGAAACTTTCATCCATTATTTTGGTGAAAGTTACCAGTCATAATTCAGATCCAACATAGACTTATCTCGTTCCCAAAGAAAAACTATATCCATCAGAATTACAAAGCCACCCCACATATTTAGACCAAAAGAAATATTTATGACATGACAAATTAAAATTCATATAAAAGAAGACCCTGCATTGAGAAGTTGAGAGAGATAGGCATAGTTCAATCTTATGTTAGGAGGATGGGGCAATAATTGGATAATCTGAAATGCTTATTTCAGCTATATATATGAGATAGCTAGAGCTGAAATGTGTTTTTGAGTAGTGATTTTTCAAAAAATGTGTGGTTAAAAAATCAGGAAAAGTTAATGAAAATTATTTTATGGAAGAATGTGAATTGAAAATGAGTTTTGAAAAAATGAATTTTTAAAAAAATGGAGGCCAAACATAGGCTAAATAACATCACATTATAAAATTCATGTGAATTATAGAGATTCTCGTTTTAGACAATGATACTATCCTAGAATTGTACTACGCCACACATTATTTGGTCTAAAGAATATATTTCTCAAGTCAGTGAAGTCAACAGTGCATGCAGGATAGAGTAATATTTCTAAATTCAATTATCATTGCACGACTCTCTTTATCTTTAGGGTGGTGTCGCACTTCTGCAATTGGTTCTTACGTTGGCAACTCGGTGGTTAATCCTCATCTTTTAGAAGCAATATCATTAATACAGATAAGTAGTGGATAATTGCAAGGACTAGTATGAAATGATCTACATATCACAATACCTGGCATGTTAGAGACAAATCCGCCCCTGTTCTCAATGCTACCCCGCTCTGTGTTGGGTTCATGGTCAACGGACATTTGTGTAGCCTGCCCCTTTTTTGAAAGGACTGCTCGTGAATCTCCAACATTGGCTACCCATAGATGTTGACTATTTACAAGAATTGCAGTTACAGCAGTGGATCCACCTCGTCCCAGGTCAGGAGTATGCGAGAGAATTGCCTGATCGGTTCTTTCATAGGCTTTTGCAATAGAAGTATTTGGATCGGACCAAAAGTCGTCCTGTTATTCAATTTGGTGGGAACAGAATTATTAGATGCCTTTTTCATAGCACTTAAAAACAAATTATTTTTAACATACCATTTTTTAAAGTTACAGGAGTAATTATATCAATTTATCAACATCACTCTTCTTTTATACAAAATGTACCACATTGCAGAAACGTGATTTTCATAGAGTAACCAACCTCCTTTAAAATATTGGAAAACAGATGCCTCTGTAAGTAAGCTGGCACGCTATCACCTAGATGTCCATCATAAATAGCAAATAGTCCCAACTCGTGACCATTCGTGTGTAGAAATTTAGCAACATGGTAATCCTCCATAGGATGATTTGCTTTTCCTTTTACTAAACTGAATCCATATTTGACAGGTCCCCGCTGGCTTCTTCCCTTCCCAGAGCCACCAGGAGAACGGCCTCCTGAAAGCTAAAGGAAAAGAAGAACTCGAACTTTGGAATCCACCATAATATTATAGAAGAAATAAAGAATAACAAAAGCAAAAAAAAAAAAAATTCACATGTTGAAGCAGCAAATCTAATTCTAATTCCTTCCTTACTCAAGTTCCTTGCATGGAATTAGAATAAAATAAAAACAGAAAATCATAGTGAAGAAGTATTGTTGAAATCACATAAAAGTCTGTGGAGTTTCATCTGAAAATCATAGGCCAATCTCCAAACAGGAAATTATTGAACGGGACGAAGCTGTGGAACAAGGACTGGTGGTGCAGATATAAGTAGAAGGAAAAGAAAAACCGAAAACTGATCGCTAATATCATGTTAATTTTTAACCCAATTATAAGTCTATGTGCTTCTGTCAAAAACAGAATTCATCTATGTGGAGTCTCTTATTTGATTTTTGAACTGCTCCAGATAAGTATCAAAATGTTGAAGCAAGAGGGCCTCTCTTCACCAATAATTTTATTCTCAAATTGAGAATCAAATCTCATGCATGAAAACAAACTATTCTTCCCTCCTCGGTTTCTCTATGCTGGTTGTACCTCCACTTTTATCCGATGTAGTAATATTTCGTAACTTTACCAAAGGCATATATCTGAACTCATAAATCATAAACACTCGTTCATACTGACATAACCCATGTAATAAGCATACTTAAGGATCCCAAGGACATGCCAAGGAAATTCTACCGAAATCAAAATTGAACTTACCTCATAATTCAGCAAAAACCTTGAAAAAATTTGGAAAAAAAATGCACAAACTATATAACGATAACCACAAATTCGTGTCAAAGCCTAGGATATTTAAAATATGAATATATAGCTGAACTGCAAAATCTCTCAATAATACAGCAGTTAACAATAATCTCACCTGAGGGAAACAGCATAAATTATCCATATAATTCAGAAGCCCCACCGGCCACCTCCCTCTCCCCTCCAATTCAACATCTACCTCGTACTTCTTAAAAGTTGAAAATCCACAACCTGTAACATAAAAGAGAGAGAGAGAGAGAGAGAGGGAAGATTCTTGATCATAAAAATTCAAAACTCCAAATAAGAAACGTATTCAAGATTCATTTTTTCTTCAAGAAACAAGAAAATAACCGAAATCACCATATGGAAATCCCACAATAAAATAAAAAAAACCACTTACCGATCCACCACTCCCCAAATCAAGAAAAAGAAATCTGTGAGCTGATATGATTTGACTATGCTTCTAAAATAATCCTTATGCAAACAGATATGGTTGTGTATAAACCAAACAAATATATATGTAAAGATTTCAAAAGGAGAAAATAACAAGAAAACGGAAATAGTAACAGGGGTTACGGAAGGGGTAATATAACCGGTGGTGCAGGCGAGAATGGGTGCCAAGAGACCAAAGGCATTCGGGTTTGGAAGGGTTTGGCCTCCCGTTGTTGACTATGTTGTCTTTATTATTTCTTTATTGTTTTGTACTAAAGTAAACGACGCCACCAGTCAGAGGTGGTCTTTCCTTGTTTTATGTTAGTACAGCCTGTTCATCACTTGACCTTTCTTGTTTCAAAGGTGTCAGGTTTCTTACAAGACACAAGAAAAAGGTATTTTCATTTATTTATTTTTTATTTTCTGTACTTTGTTCTGATTTGGTCATCGTGTGGGGGCCCTATTTTGGGTCAGCCCATATATCTTTTCAACATGGAGTTTGCTTTTAAGTTTTAACTGTTACCACCAGTATCCGTTTTATCTCCGTGCCTTCTTCAATTTATTATTCCTTGGTGCGCTGGAGAATTTTTTAATCCCAATGAAACTACCTTTTCTTTTTGAACTATTGTTCCATCCATCCTTCCTTTTTTCCCCCTTTTTTTCTCTCTCTCTCTCTCTCT